CATGGGCCACGTTTGCAGAGACTCAAAACTACCAAGTTTATCCTCCTGCCTCTAGGCCCACGCTCCCGAAGTCGGCCAAGTCAAACTAAAACTTGAAGTCCATTTATTCTTCCCCGTAGGGAAGCCTTCCCTAGGGCCTTCTCCTGTAGCCTATTGCATTTTTAAACAGCACTGTAAAATTTATCCTTACTCAGTGTGTGCTCTGGTGAGGTGCTCAGTAACTTTATTGCTATTTTCCCTTACTTTATGCAAAGCTATCAATGTGTGTTAATCTTTCCCAGAGAAGAAGCGGGACAACACTCTTGGCACAGGCCGCTGATGAGGCTGAAGGCTCCAGTGAGAACCTGGACGCACATTACACGGCTCACGTACATTAGGCAAATGCCCACTGATCCTCTGGTGCCTCGGGCTGGCAGCCAGCATCTCAGAGAGCTGGGGTCACTCGGGACAGTGCTGTCCCGGGCTAACTCACATACACCCAGCACAGGCACCAGCACTTACTAGCAGCCAGTGAGAGAGGTGTCAGGGGGAGCTGCGTGAACACAGGAGACTCGCGTGACAAGAGCTACACGTGTGACAAGAGCTACGCGTGTGACAGTATGGTCTCTGTCCAGAAACATCTGTAAAAGTAGAGGTGACAAAGGAGGGGCTGTCCATGAAGAGGACGCTGGTCTGAGCACAGCATCTCAGGTGGGCTGAGGAGCAAAAGAGGGAACTCTCAGTGCGGGTAGGAGAGGCAGTGCTGTTGAAATAAGAAGCGGCGGCGGGGCTGCGTCCCCAACACCCCAGCCGCTTGGCTAGCTCACGCCCGAAATAACAACACACAAACTGTATTCATTTAAAGAACTGCTTGGCCCATGAACTCTAGCCCTTACAGGCTAATTCTCGCACCTGGACTAGCCCATTTCTAATAATGTGTGTAAGCACCCAAGGTGCGCTTACCGGGAAGATTCTAGCCTACATCCATCTTCATCGCGTGTGCCTCAGAGAGCAGAGCTATCGCGTCTACCCGGGAGAGCTGAGCATGGCGTCTGTGATCCGGAGAGCAGAGTCTCTCCGGGAGCAGAGCAGAGTCTGACCTCACTTCCTCTTCCGCCCAGAATTCTATTCTGTTTACTCCTCCCATCTATGTTCCAAGCCATGAGGCCAAGCAGCTGGTTTATTATAACTTAACCAATGAAATCAACAGATTGATATATGACACCCCACATCACAGTGCCAGCAAAGCAAACACACAGAAAAGGAGACAAAATTCAGACACACATGACGTGAGCCAATAACACGCGATAGCATGAGCCAGTGACACACACGTGACAATGTGAGCCAGTGACACACACGTTACAATGTGAGCCAGTGACACACAAGTGATGTGAGCCTATGACACACGTGACAATGTGAGCCCGTGACACACGTGACAATGTGAGCCAGTGACACACACGTGACAATGTGAGCCCGTGACACACATGTGATGTGAGCCTATGACACACACGTGACAATGTGAGCCAGTGACACACACGTGATGTGAGCCTATGACACACACGTGTTGTGAGCCTATGACACACACGTGATGTGAGCCTATGACACACACGTGACAATATGAGCCAGTGACACACACGTGACAATGTGAGCCCGTGACACACACGTGACAATGTGAGCCTGTGACACACACGTGACAATGTGAGCCTGTGACACACACGTGACAATGTGAGCCCGTGACACACATGGCGGTCCCACCCCTTGCCGTTTCCAGCCCTGAGCCACACGTGACTCCCCTGAAGTAAGGAACCCTGTGTCACGTTAGGCAGTGACTATCATTAAGCTCCATGGCAGTGAAATGCACGGCCACGGGCCACCCTGGGAGACGGTGGCTGTTCAATGTAAGAGGTAAAGGAATATAAGACAACCAGGTGCCCCTGTGGAGCCTGTGTGCCGTCCTTTCTGGAGGCCTAGGGGGCAGAGCATAGAGATGCAGGAGACAAAAGCAGACAGGTCAGGTCTACAGGCAGTGCAGGTGTGCAGGGTGGACCTCATCTGCCTACTTCAAAGATCCCCTGATGACGGACTTCAGGAACTGCACCTTACAGGAGAGGTCGGCTCAGAACATGAAACACACGTGATCTTCTGCATTCATGCTCAAGGCCGTTCAAGCCCGGATCTGCTCTGCTGGAGACGTCTCATTGTGGCCCATCTATGTTTTAGACTTGACTGCTCTGGAGGACACCTGGTGAAGGCTATTCTAAAAGAGGCAGGGTTCTCTAGGAGATGGGGTGGGGCTGACTGCTCTCCTCCCCTAAGGTTTAAGGTTATCACCTGGGGGTCCCGGCAGTTCTGGCCGACAGCGACTGTGTGGGCTACAGCCTGCATTTCGAGGCATCTCTTAATCATTTATATTCCCTAACTACCTCTGCCAGGGGACTGGATGTGACTGTGTCGCAGAAGTGTAAGGACAACCTCTTTCACCATCCCAAAACAAAGTGCTTTAAGAGGCTGGCGAGCACCTTTCTCCATCAATGTGTTTGTCACTGTCCTTGGGACTCTCTGCCCCTGAAGCCACGAGAATCTTAGCTGTGATGGTTTCATTCGAAATCAGGCCCTGTCTTCTTGCCATGGAAACCCCTCACACTTAAAGACAGAAAACACAGAAGCTTTCTAACAGACTCCCTGCCGGTCCGACTGTTTCTGAACGTCACTGAGTTTAGGGTGTCACGGGTTCAAAGCTAATCCAGAGGCAGTGAGAACTTTGAAGAGGGACGTGTGGGTGTCAAAAGCAGACATTTAATCTCTAAAGTTTTGTTTCTAGATTCAACAGCTTGGCAGCCTTCCCTGTAAAGTAAAGGTGGGCCCCACATCACAGAAAAGGGGGGATTAAGTAAGATCCGGGCTGAAGTAGAAAGAGAACCTCACTGTGCCCTCACTGGCCAGATCACATGGTCCAGCTGACTGAGTGCCCACAGCCTCCTTGTGACCTAATAACCATTGGTGGAATCAACCAATAAGGCGACTTACAGCGATGCGTGCCTGTACCCCTCCCTGCTGGTAAGCACAGAGCTAGGTTAAGACCATGCCCATGAGCACAGTGCCGCGATGTCTTTCCTTATTACTGCAGCCACTTAGCCAACTTCACACTTTCTGTATTCTCTTCATTGTAATGTACGACATAAACCCCTGGCAACTGTGCCTCCCTTTCCAGCTGAACCTTAGGGCTGCTTTTGGCTGTCTATTCATTAGGATCTGTTTGACTAAGACAAGGTCTCACTTTGTAACACAAGTTGGCCCGGAGCTTACTACACAGCTCAAGCTGGAGTCAAGTTCACGCCAATCTTCCTGCCTTGGCCTCCTGAATCCTGGGATTACAGGGAGCCACATGTAGCCACGCCTTTTCTTCCTGGATGCAATTAAACCTATACAATTATTTGCCCAAACTTCATTCACGATCCTGAAGCCATAGGGCAGTAAACCCTAAACGCCAGTTGTCCTGGTCTCACTGATGAGCTCCCAGCCTCAGTCCTGACCTCACCAATGAGCTGCCAGCCTCAGTCCTGACCTCACCAATGAGCTGTCAGTCTCACAGAGGCAGGGGTCAGAGGAAAACGGCTCTCATTTGGTTATGGAGGCACAAACAGGCCTTGATTTCGTAGGCCTTCCTGAAGCTTTTTGCTTTTTCTGAGGTATAATTATGGGATTTCACCAATGGACCCCAGCTGGCTGCTATCTAAGGGGGAGTCACCTGTCTCCACGTCTGGGTTCTCTTTCAGTTTGGTTGAAACTGTAGAGCTGGTCAAAGCTCAAGGTTTGCATTGATTTCACCTAGAAATTTAGTGACCTGTAGTCAGAGGCTGTTGGTTCATTCCTGGCAGCTCAGACTGAAGTCACCACTCAGAAGCCATCATTTGTAATACAGTTTTGTTTCCATCCCTGTCCTGTCCCAGTTCATGGGGGGTGGGGGCTGTGTCTGACTCCATACAACTCAGAAGTCTCTCTTGGAAGGGACTGGGTGCTCAAAAGATTTGCCTTTTCTTACCAGAGTTCAATGAATTTTAAATCACACTTTCATTAAGGAAGTAACTGTTTGAATCTGCCCTATTTACTTATCATCCTGTCTATATGTATGTATGTTATATATGTATGTACGGATGGATGGATGTACATATGTATGGATGTACGTACGTACGGATGGATGGATTCTCAGGCAGGGCTCTGGCTGACCGCGCCTACACTGTGACACATCTGCTTCTCTGGAGCTCATTTAACATATGCGCACCATCCCGCCTGGACATTAAATATTACCTTAATGAATGATAAGCCACCTGGTTTTAAATCAAGTCTAAGTTTAGTATCTTTACAGAACAAACGACCTTCAGAAGCTGCTCTGGTTCTCGTTCTGAGGGGAATTAAATGACAGGTACACAAGCGTTGCTCAACTTCGACAGAATTGCTTTAGTCTCAGAAATTCTGAAAAAGCACACTAGTGAACCCTGGGATAGGCACCCTCACACAGGCGAGCCCTCATACAGACAACCCTGGCACAAGCAAACCCTCATACAGACAACCCTGGCACAGGCGAACTCTGGCATAGGCGAACCCTCGCACAGGCGAACCCTCGCGCAGGCGAACCCTCGCGCAGGCGAGCCCTCGCGCAGGCGAGCCCTCGCGCAGGCGAGCCCTCGCGCAGGCGAGCCCTCGCGCAGGCGAGCCCTGGCGCAGGCGAGCCCTGGCGCAGGCGAACCTTGGCGCAGGCGAACCCTCGCGCAGGCGAACCCTCGCACAGGCGAGCCCTCGCACAGGCGAGCCCTGGCGCAGGCGAACCCTGGCACAGGCGAACCCTCGCACAGACAAACCCTCGTACAGGAGCCCTGGCACAGGCGCCCTGGCACAGGCGAACCCTCGCACAGGCGAACCCTCGCACAGGCGAACCCTCGCACAGGCGAACCCTCGCACAGGCGAACCCTCACACAGGTGAGCCCTCACACAGGTGAGCCCTCACACAGGCGAACCCTTACCAGTGGGATAAGCAGGCTGATGAGGTCTGTGAGTGGTTTGCTGAGCAGCAGCAGGTCCTCTGCAGCCTGTGTGTCCCCTCTTGAGCCTGACTTCTGGGCCTGGAATGAAAAGAAAAGAAATGCAAGAGGTCAAGGTGATGAGTCAGCTTGGCGGTGAGAGGCAGGTGCACCGAGGTAGCAGATAAGGGGCTGAGGAATGCTGCTGTGGTCCCCACGTGCTGGAAGGATGGAGTCACAGAAGAGATAGCCCGTTCGTGACAATGTGACAAAAGTGTAGACCCAGAGAGCTTTAGACAGCACAAGGGTGGGGCAGGTGCTGCAGGAGCCAGAAGGGTGGTGGCACCCTGTTAGCTACCTTCCTTATCTCATGGCTGTGACAAGGTGTCTCAAAGGAACAACTGGGGGACATGGCACCTTTAACCCTGCCACTCAGGAGGTAGAGGCAGGTGGATCTCTGTGAGTTCAAGAGCAGCGTGGTACATAGAACATTCCAACCAAGACTACATGGTGAGCCCCTGTCTCAATAGAAACAAACAACCCCCAAAAGCAAAGGAGTAACTGTAGGGAGGAAGAACTTATTCTGGCCACACTCTGGGGTCCAGTCCATCACAGCAGAAGGTTGGTGGTGGGAGGTGCCCTCAACTGTGGGGTAGGAGCCTGAGGCTGCCTGCTCGTGTCTGGGTCATCGGGAAGCAGAGGGGAAACGAGAAGCAAAGCTAGGCTAAAAACCTAAAACCCTGCCCCAGCGACCCACTCCTCTAGAGAGCCTTTATCTTCTAAAGGTTCCACAAGCGTCCTAAGCGGTGCAGCCAGGAGGAGACCAAGTGTTCAGACCCACGCTGATAGGGAACGTTTCATAGTCAAAGTGAGCACATTCTCCACCCTGCAGTGGGTAAGCGCCTGTAGTTCCAGCCAACTTGAGGGTCTATACTTGTCACCCCACTTTCTAAGTAGGAAAACTGGGGTCTAGAAAAACCTTAATCTGGGTGGTGGCCAGAGAGTTGGCTCCATGTTTGTTATGGAAACACAAGGGACCTAAATTCAGATCCCAGCACTCAAATGACGTGGCTGTGGGGGAGGAGGCTCCCTGAGGCTACACTGTGATTACACACACACACACACACACACACACACACACGTGTAAATTATATATAATAAATTATATATAACAAATATATAATTTCTTTGTTTCTCATTACTCGTGAGATGTCACCTTTGCTTTAGCAGCCTACTGTAGACAGAGCTATAGAGCAGTCCCACACTAGCTCAAAACTGAGTATAATAAAGGGTTCTTTATTTAAGGGTAGACTCACAGATCACAGTCCTCTGCAAGGGAACAGAATCCAGCAGCATTTATAGTATAAGAGGCCCCGCCCATGTGGGCTGGTATCTTAAAGGCTATTGGCTGAAGGAGTTCCCACAGCAAGTGAAGGAGCAGGACACATGGCCTCCTCCTCTGGCCTGTGAGTGCACCCAGATGTATGCATGCCGCATGTCAGACACACAGACATGGTACGTGCGTGTACACACACACATACACAGGAGAAACTTTTTTGGCGGAGTAAGGAAACTTTAATCTGGTTATCTAAAGTCACACATTAGTAACAAGGCCAAAGGTCACACCAAGGCCATCCAATGCCAAGGCACACCACTCATCTCCTCTGGGTATTTCTATGCACACCCGTGACACGTGACCCCACTCCTCGGGACATCTCACTTTCCTGTCGCTGCGATACAAATCCCTAACAAAAGCAGCGTGCAGGGAAGGCCTCTTCCTGGTTCACTGTTCAAGGGTACCATCTACTGAGGGGCGTTAAGACGGCACAGGCATGCAGCAGCTCACGACACTGCATCCACAATCAGGAAGCAGGGCCATGAATGCGTGTGTGCTCGGCTAGAAGTTTCTTCACAGTCTAGGATTCCCGCCACAGTCAAAAGAGGTCTTCCCATTCAGTTAGCACAGCTATTTCCGCCCAGCTTTGCCGAGAGGCTTGTTTTCCAGGTGAGCCCAGATCCATGAAGCAGACAACACCAACCATTACACGCAGGCTTCAGCTACACTTTGATAAGAGATGAGCCCTGGCCTGAAATACGCCTTCGACCATGGGCCGTCACAGAACTAAGTGCAAACATTCTCACCACAGAGACAAAGACTTCATATTCCAACAGGTTCTCCCCCCACCTCGGCTTTAGGATGCACTCCTTTAGCTCAGGATGCTTCTCAATCTTTGCTTTTAGAACGTGACCTTAGCCTGACCTTACAGAGCAGATCATGAGCCTGGACTCCAGGGTCCTTCCCCAGCCCTTCAGGCTTGCAAACAGGGTTTCGCCCGCCTGCCTATTTTATTGCTATTACTGATGCAGAGGCCTCTGCTGAGGATTGCACCTTTCCTGGCTGAGGGGAAGAGCGGCAACTGTTAGCTTGCTCTTCTCTGCCCCTCCCCACCTGACTTCCTAAGCAGAGTGGTTTTCTCCTGGACCTCTCAGCACCGTGGCTGTTGATCCCTCGCCTTCTGAGGCACAGGCTGACGTGAGGTAGCAGCACCTTTGCACATTAAACATTAACACATCATCCTGGAGCTGACACTGATGTCGGCTGGTAAGGATGAGACAGGTTTGCAGATCAGGATGTGGGCTGCAGCAGGGGCTGGGGGCCAGCACTCCCTTTCAAGCTTTCTGAGCAGGCAGGCGAGGCCACGGAACAAGTCCACGTGCGGGCACTTGCCCACAGGTCACCTCGTGGTCCTTCGAAAGCTCCAGTAATGCCTAGAGCCTATCTGCAGCACTCACGGTCACCTCTACAGCTGACTGGGTTCCCAGGAAGAGACCTCAACCATGCATAACTTGGCAGCTTGTAAGATGAGCAGACTAAGCGACACCCTTGACAAAGGTCTTGCCCAGCCTGTGATGTAAGCCTCTACAGTGAGGGATCCCCAGAGAGGCCCAGAGAAACTGCAGAGGTCAGGCCTGCCTCTCTTCACACTTCAGCCCCTCACTCTTTAGGTTGACCCCTGTATGTGCTGGGGCCCCTATCCCTTCAGGACACAGCCACTGACTCACCATCCTCTGCTTCCGGTCCCACTGACTCTTTTCTAAGAAGACACTGTCCCTCAGCAGTCAGTGTCCTTGACCTGCCCAGGTGTTGTAGTCTGGGCAAGAGAAGACAGAAGCCTGGCTGAGGTTTGCAGAAAAGTAATTACATCCATTAGGCACCTGAGGTAGAGTTCTACCCCACGCAAGGGCAGACGGGGGCGGACACCGAGAAGAAGAAAGTAAGACTGACTCCCAGGATACTGGGGTGCGCAGCAGGGAAGGGCTGGCGTGGGCTGCAATGGGGGAATGGTCGGGGGGGGGGTCAAACGGGGAGCTCAGCGTGAGGCCTGGGCATCTGGTGGTCACACCAAGCAAACTGCTAGACGTATGAGCATGGATCTCAGAGAACTTTTGGAGAAATACATATATGCATATTTTCTCAACATGGAATTGTCAATTTATGAGCCATGTTTAACAGTAAATGGCCATTGATGTGATCTAAGTGGAATAAAAGAACACATATAACTTCTCAGTATAAAAAGCCCAGCACTAAATGATCCTGTCACCTCCAGCCTCACCACTCCAATCTAGTGATGGCATCAGGCACCGCGCCCAGGTCTGCTGATGAACAGAGCCAGGCAAATCTGTGCAGAACGAGGGACAAGAAGAAAATCAGCTGTACCGAGGTCTACCTGGTCCTGTCATGTGGTGATGCAACTTGCCTCTAAAACCCAGCGCCACAAAAATGTTCTGCCAATAGTGACAGGACAGCTATGCTAAAACCATTGTGAGCAGACACATTTTAGGGCTGAGGATACGGTCCTGTGGTGGAGCCCTCGCTTCAGATGGACAAGGCCCTAAGGTCATCCAGTACTGAGGAGGTCGGGGAGGAAGGAAACCACAATAGAAGGGCTTGGTTTGGGACTGGGCAGGCAGAGGGGAGGCAGGGGAGTCTACAAAGCACCCTGGGGTGGGGTGGGGTGGGGTGGGGTAGGGTAGGGGTGAAGGCCCAGATTGTCCCTTCATAAATCAGAAAACCACACCAGAGAGAATAATGAACCACTGTCATTTTTTAAAGAAAAGAAAAACAGAGCTCACACCTTTAATCCCAGCACTTGGGAGGTGGAGACAGGAGTGACATGGCTGGACAGAGAGGAATATGAGGAGGGAGGAGACAGGGGCTCAGCCCTTTTTCAGTCTGAGGATTTTGTAGAGGTGGCTGGCTGCTCTGCTTCTTGAATCCTTCAGTTTTCACCCCCTAATATCTGACTCTTGGTTTTTATTAAGACCAATTAGAATGCGTGCTCTAGCCACTTGCAGGCTTTGTGGGAGAGCAAGCACAGCTCAGTGCATGGATATTAGCGAAATGAGACAGCAAGCTTCCGATGCCACCTCAGCACTGAGAGTCAGACCCCAACAGGAAAGGCTGATGTTCTGCCCAATCTCAAAACCGATTCAAGAGCCCCAACCCCGTTATCCATCTGGAAATACTCTGATCTTCAGATCAGTGCATTGCCATGTGTATAAACATCTGTATATCGACAGTTTCCCCTAACTAAACTGAATGCCCCCTAAAAGCTAACAGTCCTTTCTTTAGAAAACAAAAACCAAAAAACCAAACAACAATAAAAAATTTTTATCAATTCTTTGAGATGTTTTACGATGTGTTTTCATCATATTCACCCTCCCCCAACCCTGCAGCTCCACCCCACACCTTCCTCACCACCCAACCCGAGATCCCCCACACCTCCCTCACCACCCAACCCCTGAGATCCACCCCACACCTCCCTCACCACCCAATCCCTGAGATCCACCCCACACCTCTCTCACCACCCAATCCCTGAGATCCACCCCACACCTCCCTCACCACCCAATTTCACGTTGTTGTTCCCTACTTTTTGAAAACCAGCCCAGCTACACTGTTCAAACACTCCTGTGAGTAGGGCCTGTCCTGGACAGTGGTTGACCAACTGGGGGCCGCCCTTTGTGGAAAACTGACTCCCTCCAACAGCTCCTCGGCGAGGGATGGGGTTCCTGGCCACCTCCCCTTTCCTGGCTGGGACTTTGTCTGGCTTGGCTGTGGAGGTCTTGTGCATGGCCAGTAACTGAGAGGTCTTAGTGCCTGCAAGGCAGTTTCCCTGTATTCATTCACGGCCTCTGGTTCTCAGACCTCAATGATCCCTGAGCCTTGGAAGAGCATGAAGAACCCACTTCTGTTGTTGGATAAAATGACTCCTAGTGGCTCCTGTACCCCAGATCACTGTGTCTCTCAACCCTCATCAAAGAAGCTGCCTCTAACAGCGGCTGGCAAAGAACACAGAGATCCACAATTGGTCAGCATGCAGAAATTACGAGACTGTGGCGTGCTCAGGCTAAACAGACACCTACCATACCTCGTTCTCTCCTGATCTGGCTGAGAATACAAGTGCCTGCTTTCATGCTCCTGCCAGATGCAGACACAGGCTTGACAGGTACAGCCCCGGTGTGGAGCGGCCACGGCCCCGGTGTGGAGCGGCCACGGCCCCGGTGTGGAGCGGGCACAGCCCCAGTGTGAAGGATTTTTAAAGTGCCAAAGAAAACCCTCAGGTTTGAAAGCATCCAGGGCCCGATGGGTGGACTTGTCTTTGATGGGCACTCAGCTCCTTCCCCAGCTCTTTCTCTAACTCAGCCTCGAGGACACACTTCCTGCAGATGGACACTAGGCATTACAGAGATCAAAGCCAGCAGCCCCCTCAGAGAGCAATGCCCGGCTCCTACTGCAGGGAGGACTGAGAAGACAGTGAGAGGAGAGGGGTCAAAAGCTACAAAACAACCGTGATGCACCGGGGTGTGGGCAGCCTGAAGAGAACCAGGAAAGGGTTTGGGTCAAGGAGCTTTAGTTTTTAAAGCCCCGAGTGTTTTATCTATCTAATCACCTGTAAGTCAAAAGTGCACCTCTACTGTCCTGGAGTTGATCAACTCTGACCCTTTAATGTACAGCTTCTGAGTCATGATCCTCCGCAGGCTATGACCACCCCCGGGGAGGCAGCAGTGAGAGCAGAGCCCTCGAGAGAGACTGACGGGGTGGGACAGGAAGAGACAAGACACGAAGATGCCATTTCAGCCCCGACCGCACATCTGCTTCTATCCCAGCCGGGAGGAACCTTCCACACATACACTCGGTCATTTCACTGAGATTTTAAGGAGGCCAATGATCTGACCTTGCGGCATGCCAGTCTCCTGATCTAAGTGTCACATGATTCAGAGGTCAGTGAGCCCAGAAGGCACCTGTCACACACAGCACCAGTAAAACCACACCTCTCCCCTTCACAGATCACAGGGCGAAACGTGGGCCGTGTTCATGGCTGACCTGCACTGTCCATGGCTGGGGAACACATCTCAGATGGGATCTATGGAATATACGCGGAGACAGACGGACACACCTGGGACAGCCACCTTCACAGTCAACCTGGTCTGACTTAGAATTGCCCAGGAGAGGGAGGCATCTAACGAACTGGGCCCACACTGAACAGAAATGGAGAAAGCCAGATGGACGCCGGTGTCAATGTCCGCCTGCTACGTCACTGCTAACTTAACGGGAACAGTCACCTCACGCTCCTGCCCACCATGGTAGAATGCACCCCTTCTAACTGTGAGCCAAATAAAACCCTCCTTAAGCTGCTTTTGGTCAGATATTTTGTGACAATGAGTAACTACGATAGATTCAGACACATATGTGTCGTCTGTATAACCATCCAGTCTGCTATTCCCAGCATGCTCAGCTTCCTGCTGAACACACATATGTTACATGTGTCCGACCATCTATTGTTCCCAGCATGCTCAGCTTCCTGCTGAACACACATATGTTACATGTGTCCGACCGTCTATTGCTCCCACCATGCTCAGCTTCCTGCTGAGGGTGGGCAAAGAGATCTGCCCACTCATGACCAACCCAGACGCACCCAAGGCAAAGGCTGTCCTGGATTGTCTCACACAGCAGAGAACACAGAGGCAGAACCGACGGACGGGTGTGGGATGGTGGGGACCACTCACCTGCAGAGCCTGCCGAACAACTCTAGAGGTGTGTGTCAGCATTCCCAGCAGGATATCGAGCAGCGAGGCCAGCAGCGTGGCCGCTGGCTCTATGCTGTTTTTGTTGTCCCCGTCTAAACACAGTGTGGCAGTTACTGTGAACATGTTACAGACATGGCCAACAAGTCCTGATGGTAGAGAAAAAGGAAAAGTACATGTCATAAGATGATAGAAATACATGACACGTGACCTGTTTGAGGCCCTGTGACTCAGGGTGACACAGACCGTGCAGGGCACTTACACTGTTTGAGAAAGCTGCTTAAAAGGTTTCCCAGCCTCAGGTCCCAGCATTCGCTCAGGAATCTAGACTGGGCCAAGGGATTTTTCTTTTTCTTTTTTCCTTTTCCTTTTTTTTTTTTAAAGTTCTTTGAGAATTTCATATAATATGTTTTGGTCATTGTCACGCCTCTCCCAGCTCCTCTCCGATCCACTCCCCTTTCCTACTCATCCATCGCTGTGTCTGTTTTAACACAAGTCCAGTGTGCGCTGCTGCCCACACTCCTGGATGAGAGGCCTTCCACCAGAATGTGGTCAATGTACCAGGAGCAACATTCTTACAACTGCCTCTCTCCTAAGAGCCACCAGCTGCCAATAGCTCCCTAACTGGGGGAGGACGGGGGGGGGGGGACAGGGGGCTTTGTGCCCACCTCTGCTCTCCCTGCTGAGACTTGGCCTGGCCTGAGCCTGCTCTACACACTATCACGACGTCACATCTTGACCTCACCATTTGCAGGGAAGTTCCTTTCTGCAGTGGATACCAGTTAACAGAGACCCACACATGGTCAGGGGCAGAGAATAAGAGACTGGGCTGCTCAGCCCTAACTGGGATAGGTCTATATCTTGCCCTCCTCCTATGGCTCGGGCCATTTTGGACAAGGTCGAGAGGCTGTCAGAGTCTGAGGCGGGGGATGAACACAAGGCAACAGCGTCCTCAGGACACAGCAGGGCAGCTGCACACGTGAACAAGGCAAGAGACCCCCAAACCACACTGAGAAACACACATGCACACAAGCAGGCTTGACGGAGCAGACTGTGTTACACATTGCACCTAGGTTACACACAGGGTCTCTAGGTCAACCTGTCAGGGACCAGCGGACCCAGGGCCGGGTGTCTCTCAAGAGGACACAGACAACTGGGTGATTCCCAGGACATAATGCAAGTGATATTTTCCTCGTGCATTTAAACAATTTGATAAATCATCAGCAGGACGGTGGACACCAACGCGATGCAGGCCCACGTGTTCTTGACGAAACCTGACACATGGGCGTGTCTGGTAAAGAAGCATGACATGCCTTGAACACGGCTTCCGCTGGACACACAACCGGCTTGTCCCGAGCCCCCAGACCACTAACTGTGTGGGAACTGGGCCAAGCACAGCCCTCGAAGCTTCTGGTCTCTACATAGTATGAGGTGCTGCTTTCAGAAAACACATCGAATTTTCCCAGCAAATGAAAAAGTAACAATTCTATCACTAAACGTGATAAAAATTGGGGTAAATTTTATCTAAACCACACAGGCTTCAGAGTTGCAGCTTGGTGGCAAAACCAGGTAAAAGTGGCACAATTGCCTAGAAGCTTCATAGCACACACACACACACATGCACACACACACACACGCACATATGCATAAATTTGTAAAGGCACATGGATTCTAGCACTCCCCAGCCATCATGTTATGTACTACTATAATAATTATTTTTTATTTTCATTTTTACATGTGGGGTGCTTTGCTTGTATGTACATGTGTATCACATGCTTGCAGTGCCTGCTGAGGCCAGTAGAGGGCATCATATCCCATGGAACTGAAGTTACAGGTGGTTGTGAGCCACCTCCCAGGACCTTTGGAAGAGCAGTCAGTGCTCTTAACCACTGAGCCATCTCTCCAGCCCCAAGAGTAACTAACAGGTTACTGCTCCAACCCAACATCTCTAAGAGAAACCAAACTTCATTAAAAGTCAAAGAACCCTGGAATTATTCTGCATTCATTATAACCAACTCATCAAAAACTCTGAGAATGATTTTGTATTAATTATGAGCAAATCCTCAAGGAGCTCGCCTCACAGGCCACGCGCTCAGCATTCTGGGAATATTAATGTGCACGAGCTGCCCCAGCTCCGGTCACGCTGTCCTTATTACAGTGCGACTTTGTTGTGATCTGCTGGAGTGGAAAGCGGACCCCGGAGCACTGTGGGAACGTCTGGCTGGGGAAGACACTTGGCAGTTCTGTCTTTAAGGTGTGAACACAGCTCTAAAGCCCAAACGTGACCCCGACCAAACATGGCTTCCTTCTGGAGGGCTTCACATTTGCATCTTGCTGACCTGGGGTCACCTCTTTGGGATTCACCAACATCCGCCTCTGTAGGAAGAGGGGGTCAGGGAGTGAGGAACATGGGGCAGCTGTTCTTCCTCTAGTCCATCAGTGCTTCTCCACAGTATCCACAGCCCCCAGGCCAAGCCAACTCCACCCCTTCCTCCTTTTCCTTCCCCCTTCCCTCTCCCCTGTCCCTTCGTCTATGTGCTTTTTAAAAGAAAAGATCTTGTTACATAACTCCAAGCAGCCTGGAACTCACCAAACAGGCACTGGTGACCTCAAACTTACTGTGATCCCCCTGCCTCTGCCTCCCAAGAGCTAGGCTTTCCAGCATGTACCACCACACCCAGCCTAAGACTGCGTCAACAGAGTGTGAAGGGTGAATGTGGTCTTGGACCCACGATCCGGTATGCATGGAAACACCAGGGAACTGTGCGGTCCTAAGTCCAGAGCATAGCTCAGCCTTCCTTGCCCTGAAGATAACAAACAACCACCCACAGCAGCTTGGTGCCGCATGAACACAAGTCCACAGTTCACTGAGGTTAAAAGCTTCAGAGTCCTCTTGGTCTAGTTCATTCCACATGTGTCTTGACATGTCCTGACGTGCCCTGACCTCAGATGCCCTCATCCTCATCTCTGAAATCTGTGAGCTGACTTCATGTGACAGCAAGAGTCTGCACACACGACCGGGTTCAACAACAGGATCTGCACACACGACCGGGTTCAACAACAGGAGTCTGCATGGGTTAACCAATAGGAATCTGCAAACACGGCTCTGTTAACCAACAGGAGTCTGCATACACGACCAGGTTAACCAACAGGATCTGCATACACGACCAGGTTAACCAACAGGAGTCTGCACACATGACTGGGTTAATAAACAAAGTTTGAGGCAGTAATGTAGGGGACCCAGGTAGACTCAATGAGTCCCAGGGTCTCCTGAGACATTAAAGTAATAGGGATTATGACCTCAGAAGCAAAATGCTGGAATTTGGCAAGAAGGGATCATGGCTAAGCAAAGATGGGACTGATAAAACTTTCTGGTTTGCCTGCTCAAGGTATAAAGCCAAGTCTTTGGAAGTAAAATGCCTACCAACACTTCTGACCCCCCAAAGCATACAAGAACGATCACCTAAGTTGTTTTAGACACTCTGGTTATCACCACGGTTGCTATGACAACTGCAAACAAATATTAGCTGATGTGTATGGAAAGCCCTTCAAGACTCAAGTGCGCAAGGCTTGGTCCTGCACAGAGCAGTATTCAGAGCTGGGCCCTGAGAGGTAATTGAATCCTGGGGGCTGTGAATACATCTGTCAATGCAAACTGCATTCATAGTTAAGTGGCTGTCCCTTTCTTATAGTGCCACAGACTGGGGACAAAGCCTTCAACACCATGGGGAGGGGAGGGGAGGGGCAACCGAGACCCAAACAACCTCACTACAGACTTGAGAAGAGGGACGGAGCGCCTCGTGAAAGGCTCAGAGCCTGTCAGTACTCCACACGGAGCGCCATTCCTATACAGGTTTAATAGAAATGTACATTAAACTTGGATTGTCACTATAAATCAGTGTCCTCCCACACCTAAAGTCAGTCATCGTGATATCCCGGCTTGAGGGAACGCATCACCCAATGTCTGACGATTCCCAGCGCTACTCAAATAGCCTCTGCCAATGCTAACACCCCAGCAACCACCTCACAGATGATAAAACCGATGTCCAGAAAGGGCCATGTGCCCCACCCCACCCATCAGCTGCTTTACTGTAGCCAATGCAACTAGAATTGCAGAAAGAGGAGACAAGGGTGCCAGAGACCTGAGCAGTCCAGAAACTCACTTCTGTTCTTTCGCAAACGCATTGCTGCTCATGGTGATCAGTGGCTGCAATAGAACAAACCAAGGTCACCTCAAGGGGAACCTGCAAAGGCAGCTCTAGAGCTTGTAGTGAGGAAGCCACGGTTCAGGGCAGCCAGAGGCTGGAGGGCCATAAGGATAGAGACAGAGAGGCCAAGGTGACTCACTGAAGATGGGGGCGTGAGGAAGCTAGAAGACACAGGGTGCCTTCTTTCCAGCCAGGGACACCACATTTGGTTTCCTGAGAACTTAAGGCTGAAACGGAGGCTGGCAGTCGTGGGCCATGTCCTGACTGACTTGGTGACTGTGGCAGAGGTGGTCTGGCTCCCTGGGACAGCTGAGAAGAGGCTGCGGGTCAGAGTTCTGTGTACGCAGATCTCCTGGCCTTGTCTGGGCATGTGTGCTCGCTCTCTCAGGGGGAACACTAGAGGCACGCCCAATCCACAGAAGCCAGAAACAAGAAGAGGCGTCTCCTGATGGCCCTTCTAGATTCTTTTGGGATGACCAAAAGAGACAGGCAGCAAATAAGCTCAAAATGGCAGAACCGGAGACAGCACTTATCACTGTTCATGTGACATGGGTCTCGGCAAAACGTCCATTGCCAGTCAGTGTGGCATGCTTCCCACACGACTGGAAACCCCTCTGTGGCCTAGTGACAGCTAATCCTACACACGGGCTCAGGGATGGATCTGAAGAGAAACGCAGAGTGAGGAAATATCACACACACAGCAAAAAGACAGATGAGGCCCATGAGCTCCAATAGCAGTGCAGAAGAACAAACCCCACATGTCCATGTGATCACCACGGGGCGCAGACTCTCACCGAAGGCTTACAGGTCTTGACAAACAGGTAAGTGTGAGATGACAGCCGAGTGGGTTTTTAAGAGCGAAGTCACTGCCCATGAAACATTTCCACAGACAGTAATTCAAATGTTGTGATTCCAACATAGGAATGGAAGGGTATAGCAGG